TGGGCTGAACGGAAACCCCGTATGTGGACAACAGTTTCACCGAGGAAGAAGAAAAAGGTAACGCAGACATGCAGAAGCATGAAAAAACAGCGGGAGATTATATGGAAGTAGCCGATTCACATCACCAGATTATCGCAGTTACTGATGGTCATTCTTTGCTTCTGTTGATGGTCAGCTAATTTATGAGTAGGAAAGAAAACTCGTATTTTTTAAACTTTTTCAAATAAATTACACTCTCATATTTTGATAATTTAATGATTAGGAGTTATGGGGATTACATGGCACTGCATTTTTCAGGTTCTGAGGAGACTGTTATGGAAACAAGTGATACTACTGAAAAAAATCTATATCAAGTAAATATGACTCAAGATAGTGATGAAAAATTTCTCATTAGTGCTGTAAGTCTTTCAATTCAATTTATCTGCTTGTTTTCCCGGACATAACTACATGCATATTAAAAGTAGCGTTGAAGCAACTAAAATTCGGGTTTGCCATTAAAGTGACTAGAAAATTCTTGAAGTGAAGGTACTTCAGACTCGAAAATCTTTGTAAAATGATATAGTCGATATTGGAAATTCTAGGACAATCACCCGAAAAAGGCTTTAGAGTCACAGACCTCCACTGCTCAAAACGAAGTACTGAAAACTGCAGTTATTATGCGGTTCGTTTTCTCTCAAATTTTTGTTTGGTGAAGCCTCCCACACTTTGCTTATTTTATCAGTTCCTCTTTGTTGTACTTATTGTTTATCATACCCTAGGATTCCACCGGCAATAACGGTAACTGATCATGATGACGGAATCGGAATAGCAGTTGATGACGACTCCGATGCTGAAACAAGTCCTTCTTCTGATGAAGATGACTATCCTGACCAGGTTCATTAATATTGGATTTAAACTTTCAGATTATAACTGCATCACTTTCTTTGAATCATAATTTTAGGTAATCGAAGTACCCTCTGCACCACCAATATCTTACGATGTAGTGGAAAAAGAACAAGAACAACAGGAAGCACTCGGGAAAGCTGTTCTACAACAAATACAGGTTGAAAAATTCTTTTAATTTTAACATTTATAATATTACTAATTTCGAGATCTTTTTGATTTAACTAATCAAACGAAGTCTCGACAATGAATTTTAAATTTTCGTCAGGCTTTTGGAGAAGCAGCAAATGATGAGTTTGACGTGCAATGGGTTCATGATAACTTAATTAGAAATGAAGCGATGAGTAATATTTTTGCACATGATGAAAGTACGACACCAGCGGTAAAATTTTTTATAATATGAACTTGGTCTTTCATACATTCGCCATTTTTATATTGTTGGACATGTTATTTACAACGAATTAATATCAGGCAGCTTACGATGGGATCCTATTATCAATCGAAACTGAGCGTACCGACAAAGCAGTGAGTTTGAATAAAGTCACCCCCGAGAGGAAAAATCCATTCCTCGATATCGATGATAATGAGAGTACACTAAAAATTGTGGAAGATGTAAGTAAACAAATTTTATGTTCATGTAAGCCTTTTGCCTCTTCAAAATTTGTTTCCTAAACTCTTTTGATCCACCGTAAAGTAATTTCTCTTGTTTCATCAGTTTTTTGTACTTATTTGTGTTCATTCATTTTTGAAGAAGTTGTATTTATGTGATATTGGCGACGATTAGTTTACGAAAAAAAAGCTGGTTGCAGTCACTGGAATCCGATGATGTTGATTATACAACTGCAGCTAGCTATTACAACAACCAGTCATTCTTAACTCATAGGCCTGGTTCGGTTTACACAATTCCGGAGGATAAAGAGCAAGATGATGGACAGATCAATACTGATTCGAAATTCTACGGTAAGTTGTTTCGTTAAATTGCATAAAGCCAAATCACCAAGCTGGATATCTTTTTTGGTTTTTCGATATTTATTACAAAAACAAAAAAAAACAAATAAAATAAAAGCGAAATTTCGACTCGTCTCAGTGAATTGTCAGCGAAGAATATTTCTTTTGTAATGCCATAAATATTTGCATTAAAAGAGTTGACTGGCAAAATTTAGCAAAAGAAGTGGTTCGCAGGGTACGCGCAGAATCAGCAAGTCTAAAAGCGACTTCTAAGTCCACTGCGCCTATTGAAACAACAGATGCGTTAAATATGGTTTCAGCTTTGAGTTCTGCTCAAAAAAGTAAACTTTTATGATCATCCGTTTGTTAAATAGCAGATAGTTTTAACCTCGTTCGCATAAGCTTCTTTTGTTCTATCTTTTTATAAATCAAAGTTTACGTATTAAAAAATTTACAAAAATCTACTACAGAATTAAATAATTCTAGGTAGAGATGTGACGAGAACCGTCTATAGTGGCGACTACTATAATCAGCTGCAAAAGCGCCAGGATGAGGTTTCAAAACAAATGTTTCGTAGGACAGAAGCAGATACAGTGACTCCAGCAACTGAAGCAAATGTGAACAGCTATGAAGCTTCAAGACAATTGGAACATACCACTATGTCTTCATCAATTGCGCAGAAAGTCAATCAGTTTTACGATTGTTATTAAAAATTTAGAAGGAGTAGAGGGAGTGTGTATCACTTATGAGACTTCCGAAAGTACGCAATACGAGATTTATTTATGGATCACGTGATATTCCAAAAAATCATGGAAGTGAATACCCGACTTTGGCTTCCCACTGTTCCTTAAATGGGATTGTGAATTGGTTTGGGTTCGACATTGGAAGAAAATTTGGTAAAAATGAAGTTATAAACTTGTTATCCAGAAAAAGCATTGTACGTATATTT